TGCTGATGATCGGAAGTTACTGACAATAAGCACCTTCATCCCCCCAAAGGCGGAGAGAGAGAGAGGGAGAGGAGGAGGAGGAGGAGAGACAGGGGGAGAGGAGAGCTGATGCCTGACGAGTCACTCGGCGGAGGCAGAGCGGGCGGTACCACAACTTCCCGGCGGAGCGGCGCGGAGCTGCGCGGCGCGGATCGGAGCTCGCCGGCCGGATCGCTCCCATGTCAGCGCGGCGGTGGGGGACTGCGCTCCGCTAGCGACCAGCCGCCGGCCAACCCCCTCCTCGCCCAGCGATGTATTCACTGCTCTCAGCCTGCACTTGCCTGTAAGGATTATGACATATTTCTAAATATTTTTTATTATTATTTTTAAATTTTAAAAAATACTTTAAATTTTTTTTTAAACTTTCGTTCTGGAGTCTCCGGTTGCATTTTCCTTGCAACCAGGTGGTAATTGGGACCCGAGCCTTTCTATAAGCAGAGCATCGCTCTGTGCCCTTTAAAAAATTGCAAACAAAAACAAAGCAAAAAAAAAAAAAAGCTAACCCCTCCAACTTTAACCATTTTACCACATCATTTGATCTTTTGTGTTTTTTTTTTTTTTTCTCTTCTCCAGATGTTTACATTTCCTGCTGCTGTGCTTTCAGGTACAGGTACGTGTCCTTTCTGTCCTCTCTCGCTTTTGGTTGTAAAATAGAAACAAAGGCGGCGTGCTGACCTCGAGTGCCAGGCAGGTTTGGCTGGGGCTTTCACTTGTTTCCCTCTAGTTTTTATAGCCGTATTAAACCGAGCCCCACACCAGGTGCTGGAGTGTCACTTGCCCTGGACCGGGATTGCCCCTCGCACTCAGCTCCCGTTCCGTGCCCGGTTGTGCTCTGCCGCCGGTGCGAGGCTGAGGAGCAGCCGGTGCGCCGGTAGCCTGCCGTAGCGGGATCCTCTGGAGTGCATTAGCCTGGCTAATGATGTGAGAGGGAGTGCTGGACTCTCCTTGCACAATGTTGATTGATGCACTTGCCTTGGAAGAGCAGGCGCTCTCCTGCTCGCCCTCTTTTTTTATTTTTTTTCTTTCTTTTCTTTTCTTTTCTTTCTTTTTTTTTTTTTTCCCTTTCCCTCTTTGAGAACTTACTCCCAAAAACTGATACTTTGAAAAACACGAGTTTCCTTAGCCAGGAGAAGGAGGCTGTGTGCTCCCTCCCCATTATTCAGTAGAACGCCGTCCAAGTCAGCTCCAGCCTTTGATCCTGCCTCGGCAGGAATGAAGCCGTTGGAGGAACACCCTGAGCGGCGAAGCTCTGCAGCCCAGGCGCCCGCGGGATGGGGATGGGGATGGCAGCTGCCCCCCAACAGCCCCATGGCCACACGCTTCTCTAATCACCACAGGGATTTTAGCTGGGCATCCTGGAGCAGACCCAGCTGCGGGGCTGGGCAGAGCAGGTGCCGCTGCTCCAGTGGCTCCAGCCCACCATCCCCCCAGGACTGGGGGATGCCTGTGCCACCCCTTGTCCCCGTGTGATGTGTTGGCCAGGATTGCACCTGCTCACCCTCTCCAGATCCCCAACAGCAGCAAGGGATGGTCCTGGATGAGCACAGCCACAGCCTTGGAGGGGGCTCTGTCCCTCTGGCTAAGCTAAAACCCAGAGCAGCCCCATCCCTGGTCCCCCACCCATCAAAAAAATCCCCAGTCACATTTTCTTCCTCATCCCCACCAAAAACTGCAGCTTGAACCCAACGCCAGCTGAGCCTCCCCCGGTGGAGTAGCCTCCTCAGCAGGAGAGGATCCACAGCTGTAAATTACCCTGCGGTTGGAAGGTGTTTGCTCTATTTCTCTGGCGCATTTTTTTTCAAGCCCCAGGAATAACAGGCTGCACAGGGCTCACAGAGCCAGCACCCTTTGCAACGGGGAGACATTTTTTTGTGCTTGTGCGGTAACTGAAGTTAATCAGCCCTCCAGCCCCCTCCCTTTCCCCCTCCCTTTGGTGCTTTTAGTGAATCAGAAAAAGTTTGGCTGGATGCCTGGAAAGCACTTGCTAAAATCTGATCTCTTACTTCAGCAGCCTTAAAACAAAGTTATTGGCATTTATACAGTTGGAGCTTGCAAGCTTCCAAAGCAATAAAATAATAAAAAAAAAGGGGGGGGGAAGAAAGCTCTGCGCTCTGGTGCTATTAGAACCATACTTGCTCCATTTCGTGCTGATTTTGCAGCATTCTGTGGGATGTGAGGTGGGGATGGCTGCGCTGGGCACTCCAGGGATGTCCTGGCTGCGGCTGGAGGGCAGCGGAGCTTGCTGGGTGTCACAGTGAGAGTGGAGCTCCTTCGGTGATTGGGGTTGGGAGCCAAAACATTAGATTAGTCATACTTGAGGGCCTTCGAGTGAGTGTTTACAGTATTAATGGTAGATGAAAAGATGTGAATGCTGTAAGTTTTTATTGCCCGTTTTGTTACACTTACTTTCTGGATTTATTCACGGGATTACATGTTTTGAGCCTGAATGGGAGCGAGGGATTATAGGATTTCTTTTATAATGATCAGTTTGGGTAGGAGTTAGCCTTTGGTGAACTGGAGTAAATTAATGCATCACTTAGGTTTAATATTTATTTAGTCTAAAGGAAGTTGTTTAGTTTTGCTTAAAGGGCTCTGTGTTGTATTGGAGAGATTTAAGAGCTCCTGAAGTGGATTATATTCTAAGGCCATCTTCCGCCCTCCTGTTCAAACCGTGATCTGCGGGTTGCCCTGTGTGTTAGTCTTAGAATTATGCTCCTCTGCTGCTGCCTGTTACCCTGTGGCTCTGTGTGCAGAGGTAGAAATCTCTCCAGTGTGTGTGGGGCTGGAGGTGTTCTGGGGCAAAACACCACGGCTTGGCTGTTCTATGTCTTCTGTTAGTTCCTCCTGTATGAACCTGCGGTGCGTTGATGTGTGAGCTCCCTGCAGCTGGTGGTCGGTGGCTCACTGCTGGCTAAAAACTTTCCTGTAGACTCCAAGCCCACCTGCACAGCTACCGGTGGGTGACCCGCTCAGGGACAGCATCACCTTTGGGCAGGTTGTGGCAGCACTGGAGGGGCTGTTCCCCAGGCTGGGCCACAGGGAGTTTGGAGGGTCTGGAGCTTCCAGGAGCAGGATTTAGACTCCTGGATGAGTCAGACTCCAGGGCTTTTCTGTTGTGTGACATTTCCACCAAGAAACATGGGAATGAGCACGTGTTGGGTCAGAGGGGAGCACTGCTGGAGCATAGGTACAGCACAGCCCCGGCAGCAGCCCAGTATCTCACAGAGCTGCCTGGAGGACGACTCATTCACTGATCCCTTCCCCTGCAACAGCAATAGCCCTGTCTTGTTTTCTTCTCTTGCATCTTAGGAAGTTCCTCTGCTGCTTGGAGTTGCTGCAGTTCCAAAGCAGAGATACTGGATACCCTTGGGGACCCTGGAGACATTAATTTATTTATGCAGGTTGTTCTTAGGGATGCCTTTTCATCGATGGTTACTGATCTCTCCCTCTTATCACATGTCTTTAGCATCCTTCAGTTTTTTCTCCTGCTACCTTTTCATACTTTCAGGAGCAATTTCTCTTCCACGTGCTTCTTCCCTCTGTATTTCCCAGGGTGATTTTGGGTTTGGCTTTGGAGTCAGTCTCTGCTCTTCAAGCAGGTGAGAAACACCAGGAGCACCTTGCACGGGTGGAGGGGATCACCCAAGCTGTGCTGACTCTGGCAGCACCATGACCCTTGGGACCTCCTTTGCCAGGGTGGGTGGGGGCTGGAGGCAGCTTCAGTGTAGGCTGAGCAGTAGGATGCGAGGTTTTGAGTGCTGTCCTGGCTTGCAAGAGCTTCCAGCTCTTCTGTCCCTAAGCCACCTCCAGTGTATTGTCAGCCGGAGCACGGGGCGATGCCGCTGCAGGGGCTGCCCTGGCTGTGCTGTAGAGCAGAGGGTGGTCCTGCCTCAGCCTCTTCCCTGCCCTGATAAACCTCACCGTGTTCTTCTACATGGAGCGCATCTGTCTTAGATTATGAAGGGGTCCCTGATAGGGCCAAATCCTTTGCTTTTATGGCTCTTGTAGGTTAAGATCCAGCTTTGGAATCTGATCCAGAAGCAAACACGAGGTCAGAGGAATGCACAAGGCAGCACTGGGCTATTTTCACATCTGCTGGTGTTGTGTAAGAGGAAGGCTGCCGTGCACCATGCCAATAGCAACTTATGTTTCTCCTAAGCTCCTGTGCAGCGACAGACAGTTATTGTTTGGGGCTTTGTAAAGAGAGACACGGAGAAGTGTTGCTTCCACGCATTCAGCGAGCCAGATCCTGCGGTCTGGCGGAGCTGCGCGCGGCACATGTCGGAGGTGTGAGCCTGCTGAGCAACTCCCTCCCCTCTCCCTGTCTGCTGCTCCACAGCCGTCCTTCCCAGGACAAGGAGGACGAGTGGCGAGTGCTGCCAAATGGCACTGGGGACAGTGTTGTGGAGAAGCAAGAGGTGGTCCTGATCACAGCCTGCCCGGCCTGCCTTGCCTGGCTGCCCCTTCTGCAGGTGTGCAGCAGTGCCACAGGTCCCTGCCCTGCCCTGCCCCTCCTGATGACAGTGCTTGTCATGGCACTGAAGGAGGGTGCTGGACTGCGCCATTCTCATGTCTACCTTCCCTGTGGATGGGAACCCACCTGTCTTCTCCCACCATTGGGTGGCACAGTGTCTGTCCTGGCACGGCAGCCATGGCTGTGTGTACTGCCAGGGGTGGAGTTTGGGCATCACCACATTGCTCCAGCCTGCGCTGTGGGATAGGGCGGGTGGAACCTCGTGCTGCTCCCATCCTCGAGGTCCCCTGCATGCCAAGACTCAGCTGGACCCAGAGCCCTGGGGCTCCCAGGCTCAGTGATCTGTGCCTGACATCTCTGCTCAGCCTGGACCAGGACCACCAAGCCTCAGCACAGGATCCCTGTGCCAGCACCTGCCTCTGCTCTACGAGGGTGTAGAAGTCATGCTGAGAAGGACAGAATATGGCAAAGGTGGTCTGGGAAAGGCTGGACAGCTCTCTGTTGATTTTTCTGATTGCACCTGACAATTACGAGGCAGTGAGAAGATCAGGGAAACTGCATGAGCAAAGCCTGATTTAATTAGCAGAGGAGCTCAGCGATGTTGCAGTGCATGACCCCGTCATAGGCTGGAGTTGATGAGATGGTCCACAGCTCTGGCTCCATGCTGCTGCTGGACTTAAGACAGCAGATGCAGTACCTGCCGGTGTGGCTCTGCTGGCCCACAAGCTGCAGAGACAGGGTCTGGTTGCATATTAAATCGTTTGTTCCAGTTTCAAACCCCCTTGCTCTCCAAAAAACAACTTTGCTGCTTGCCACAAGTGATTTTTGTTCCCTGCTGCTGACTCAATGCACCCTTCTTGAAGGGTGTCCTGAACCTGCCCCTCGTGTCCTGTTTCTGCCTCCTGATCTTTGAAGATCAGTCTTGTGGAGGAAGAGGATGCATGTTGGAGCAGTTCCCTGGGCTGGAAGCCCTGCTGAGTGGCACTGGGCTGGTGCTTGTGCTGATGGCCACTTGGGAGAAGTGGGAGAAGCGAGACTGAGATTAGCATGGAGTGAATGCAAACGTGGGTCTTGCTCCTACAGGGGTGAGAGTGTGCAGCCTGTGCCCCACCGCTGGCTTTGGCTGCCTGCCCTGG